TAAAAGAATGTGTAAAAGAATCCAAATACTTGCGACCACTGTAAATAAAAACTTTAAATATCAATGTACAGCTCACTGTCTGCAGGTTTGATGAGCTCACCTGTCCTTCCATTCGTAGAGCACTCGCTGACACTAAAGGCTTGCCGGCCAGAACACAGGCATCATTCACGAGGTACCGTGTAGGAACGTTGTCTGAACAGTCTGCCACAATGTCATACATGAAGATGCAAAGTCAAGGAGACAAATAAATGGGTTTCGCACTGTACAGAACTGTGGAAAAGTTCAAGATCAACTTCTCAATAGCAATTCATGAGTGGATATTGTTGAATGAGTTGTCTGGCGTTGTCTCTGGAGAGCTGGAGGTGATAGGGAACACACTGAACTGTGGAGTTCAACCTGGAAGAGATCACAAGCAGTCAGCTCTCCGTCGTTCAGTCGTTCACCTGTACTGGTTTTGGGAGGTAGGATGGTACCTGCTGATGGCCTGGGCCGCAGACAGGGCTTTAGGCTGGCCTTGAGTCACTTCTGAATGAAGCACCTGTCGGTGCAAGTTACTCAGTTCCACCACATCATAGTCCAACAGGCCCAAACGTCCTGAAAACACAAACTACATTAACGGCTGCCAACTAGTGCCATAGTACAATTACAGCTGTGTCTTCATGCAAGTGTTTGCTTTGGGACAGAAACTAAAATGAGATATGAAGGTTTTCATGGGACCCATTATGAACAGCGGATTCAGCCTTCATCTCTTCTACTTTAGCATTTAGACTGGTAACTATGGTAACTTCCGTTTTGTGTGCATTTCTCTTAAATTAAAAAGTTAATTTAAAAAATAGACTCTCTCTAACTATTAAAGCTAAATATGTTTGTTATACACTACCGGTCAAAAGTTTCCGGTCAGTAAGATTTTTTTAATGCTTATGAAAGAAGTCTCTTCTGCTCACCAAGGCTGTATTTATTTGATCTAAAAACAGTAATATTATCAAATATTATTACAGTTTAAAAGCAGTTGTGCTGCTTATTATTATTTTTGTGAAATAAATTCTTTCAGGATTCTTTGATGAATAGAAAGTTCAAAAGAACAGCATTTATTTGAAATAAAAATCTTTTGTAACAATGTAAAAGTTTGTATGTTTTTGATCCATTTAATGCATCATATAGTATTATTATTATTTTTATTATATTATTATTATTTACTTGGTAGTGTGTATATATAATTTAAACTATACAAACTATATCTATATAAAGAATTAGTAGTACCACTTTACAATAAGGTTTAATATGTTAACATTGGTTTATTTAGTTAACATGGATTAACAATATTACATGTATTACATTACATACACATATTTGACACAAGTCCCCCTGTGGTGAAAATCCAACTTTTAATGTTGTTTATATGTCTATGTGGTGTTTTTAATATGCTTTAAGACAAACAATGTGTAAATTCATAAGTCAACACCATTTCTGAGTATTTTCTCTTTAATACTGCAGTGAACCAAAGACAGTCTCAAAAACACGGTTTGAAATGGCTGGTGTTTCTGACGTCACAAACTACCTTATCAGATCAACCACATGAGTATCTACACTACCAATGCAATAACTCTGGAAGTGGTCAAATGTGGACAAGCTCAAAATGTTTTAGGCCCTGTTTACACCTGGTTTTAAGATGCGTTTTGGTCGATCACAAGTAGACACATACCCGTTTAACCCTGGTGTTTTAATCCATCCCGGAGAAGGCGGTCTTTTGTGGCTGTTCGAAAGCATTCGCATTTTCGACTACCTCTGGAAGTGGTCATTATAGACCCCGTTTACATCTGTATTTAGCGTCGTCCACTTGTGATTGGATTGCCGAAAATGCTTCTTAAAGGGATAGTTCACCCAAAAATGAAAATTACCCCATGATAAGTGTGGGGTCATTTGTGTGAATGGTGAATGGCCGTATATTTTTTTAAGTCCATCAAAGTGAATCCATCCATCATGCTCCACACGGCTCTGGCGGATTAATAAAGGCCTTCTGAAGAAGCGATTTGTTAGTGTAAGAAAAATATCCATATTTAAAACATTATCGACTAAAATAACTAGCTTCCGGCAGACGGCCGTACGCATCGATTTACGGCGAAAGAGTGACCCTTGACCTGACGCACAACGTAATGACGACCACGGAAGCGCAGAGGATAGAGCAAAACAAAACACCAGTCACGAATTAGAAGTCAATTTTTTAAAGAGAAATGTCGGAGGAGCTTGAGTTTGATGCCGAGCCCTGTTTGTTTGAACCGCGAGAGGCGTCTAAACTTACATCCTACGTCATACATGTGTAACCCCTCCACCCGGGTCCCACTCGACCCGCTCCGAGCGGGCCTCGAACCCGGGTCTCCGGCATGAGAGTCAGGCGCTCTAACAAGGAGGCTAAAGACTGCAGTCCAAGCATCTGTCGCTAGAGCGCCTATTGAGGACAGAGGAGTGAGGTTTACTCGCATAGCAACTACTAGCTGGCCTCCGTTACACATGCGTCACTGGTTACTCTTGTGGCGTAAGTCGACTTGTGTAGTATGCGTACGGTCGTCTGCCAGAAGCTAGTTATTTTAGTCGATAAATTTTTAAATATGGATATTTTTCTTATACGAATGCATCACTTCACTTCAGAAGGCCTTTATGACACCCCTGGAGCCGTGTGGAGCACTTTTATCATGGATTGATGCACTTTTATGATGGATTGATGCACTTTTATGGACTTCAAAAACAGAAACGGCCATTCACTGCCATTATAAAGCTTGGAAGGGCCAGGACATGTTTTAATATAACTCCAATTGTGTTTGTCTGAAAGAAAAATGTCATATACATTTGGATGACTTGAGGGTGAGTAAATCATGGGCTAAATTTCATTTTTGGGTGAACTATCCCTTTAATACCGGGTGTCAACAGGACCTTACTTGTACAGATAAACTCCTATACTTAACAGCATTATGAACATAGTAAACACACATGGCCACTTTACCTATTCCAGCTGCAGCCAGATACTGCGAAAGAGGACAACCTAAACCTCCACATCCCACAACCAGAACAGATACATTACTTATGGCAACCTGGCCTGTAGAGAAAAGAAGATTGTTTAAGAAAAGAAAAGAGTTACATTATAAAGGTTAAAGTCAAAATATTGTTTAACCTTTAACACCAAGTTCTGGTAGGAGAAGCTGCCTGCTGTATCTCATGATGTCATCATTGCTCAGCGTTACATTTGTTTTCAGTGGTGAAAGATTGGTAACCTTCTCCTGTAACTCTGTTGATATTGAGTTTCCCTGAAAAAAGGGGGTGGGGGAGAAGTCTTTTCAGTTTTCAGACAAGAAAATGATCTGCTCTGAGAAGGCTTCTTAAATATATGACCATAACGTTATTTATCTACGCCATGACACGGGGTGCCTTTCAAAAGTTTATTCTGTCAAACAAAATAAATAAATGATTTGAACTGTTCTATCAATCCAAGCCTTTAAATCTTTATCTTCAGAAATATAAATGTTGTCTGACCTAACCTAAACCTTAAAATAAAATTTTGATATTGTTTTCACTCCATACAACACATATAAATTAGCATTAAATAATTGTTAAAATCATTACATACGCATAACGGTACAGAATCACACAAAGGCTTTGTTATCTGAATATTTGCCGAGTAAAGTGAATAACTATTGCAGACCTTTTCCATTTGATGAAGTTTCTTCTTCAAAGCTGCAATCTCTCTCTCTCTTTCCAAGAGCTGTGTCTTCAAACTTAAAATTGTATCATCCATCACGAACAATCACCTCGATATCAAATTATGATTAAGAAGCAGTTATTATCACGAGCAATTATGTGTATAGAAATCACACTGCACAGGACTTCCGGGTTTCCGCGCGCATGCGACCACGTGTAGCGCACGTAACACGTGATTACAACAGATCCATAATACGCGCTCCCCAGAGATTAATGTAGATAGATATAACCGACTCAATGTTATTACACCTATTTTGAAAAGACTATTGAGTATTAAAAGGATAGAACAATCTGAAACATTAAGTAACACGAGGGTGCAGATGAACAAAAGTTACTGAGATAGCTCTTGTATAGCTGTATTTTGCTTCAGGCGAACTGTCCCATAAGTAGCCTACAGTTGTTTATGGGTGAAAATCCCCTGCTAAATGGGCATGTTACCCGATCACTGCCATTATTTTTAGCATCACTAATATACAGTTTAGAGTTTTCTTAAATAGTATTGTTTGTAACTTAATATTTATGGCCTACTAAAATAAACAACAGTTAAGCTTCGAATTATTTTACTCTGCTTTATTGTGGCGTAGATATGAGCCATTTTATAACATTATCTTTATAATTCTTTATTTTTTATTTTATAATGTTGTTTTTTATCTTTAAATATTGTTGGTAACCAGACAGCTGATGAGGTTACCCAGAGGTTGCCTGACTTCCATAGTAGGAAAACATAGGCTACTATGGGAATACTATGGAAGCCAACGGGTGCCGTGAACTGTCTGGTTACCAACATTCTTTAAAATATCTCCTGTGTTCAACAGAAGAAAGAAACTCGTAGATGTTTGGAACAACTTGAGGGCGAGTATAAGTGATGTCAGTATTTACATTTTTGGGTGAACTATCCCTTAAATGGAACCTGTAATACACAGAACCCATTAGTACAAAGAAAACATATCAATATTATATACATTGTTTCTTTATTTAAGAACAGGAAAAGAAGACGAAGTAACAAAAAACTCCAGCGCTCGACAACAGCTGGCTCTTTGTGCCGAATCGAAGTGGTAACTCATGCATATTAATAAAGCGTCGCTGACGTTGGTTGGTTGCCTTTGGTTAATATTCATGAGCTAAGCCTTCAATACACCAGCAATGACTGCCTTTCAGCCAATCAGTTTGCCGAGCGTCACGGAACATTATTAATATTCATAAGCAAGGCGTTCGCCATAGTAGGGTTTGTAAAGCGTTCTCTCACATGATCGGAGTTGTGTGTGTGTGCGTGTGTGTATGTGTGTGTGAGAGAGCGTCGTGAGAACAGAACTGAGGAGATGAGATGGCCGAACGACGCTGGACCGCGAGACTGTTGGCTTTCATTGGCATCATAGCGACTCTGACGAGCTGCGACACTGTTCCCTGGCAGGAGGAGAAGGTAGCAATCTTTACACAACTGATGCTTGGTTCCTTTTAAGAGAATTGGCATAGAATAGATATCTAAACAATGTTCAGTTAGAATTATTCATGAATTCTATGTATTTTTTTTCTCATGAAGGGATGGTGTTTTCATTAGGGAATATCTGTCTGTTTTTAATGCATACCAAAAAGAAAAACCGTTTTATTCATGCATTCTTTTTTTCTTTTTTTTTTTCTTTTTTTGCATGTCTTCTTTTTAATTTCAAATATCCAATAGAATCGTGACAGTGATCACTTAAACTGACTAAGGAAAGTAAGGATAATTTGCTTCATGGCTTTACAAGTACATGATCTGGTCACTTGCATCTGACTTCAGTTCATGTTGCTCAGTCTGTCTCTCATTGTCTAGTTGCTATGGGAGCAAGATCCCCATCATTGATCCATCAGCAGGATATCTTAATACAGACTTTCAAACTCTTTTGAATTAATTATTTTTGTGCAGTTCTAAAGATAGCAGATCAGTATTTTGGGAACATTTCTGTGAATGATGCTTCTGTTGCACTATTGCTTTTCAGCATGTGATCAGATAACTGAAAAGGGCAAGTTATACAGTGGAATATAATCTTTTATAATCTTATTTTCCTCACCTTGACACATACTTTTTTGTATAAAACATTTTTTACTTCTGTGTTGTTCAAAACAAGCTACTTTCATTAAGTGGCTCAAATAAAACATGAAGAATCAATAATCGCAGCACAGGAACAATTGGACTTTGAGACCAAACAAAACGAAATGTCATCAGAAGATCAATATCGTGTTTAAAGCAGAAGTAGTTTAATTATGTGTTTCTATCCATCTTAACATTATTATTCAAGAAAGATCATATAACTAGAAGCCTTTCAGACTCTGTGAATGTCCTCCAGCTGTGTCGACTCATTTCAGAGCCCTTCTGTTGCCATGTATAGTGTAGTTTGAACACATAATTATCCTCTAGACATATGCAGTGTATAATTTATCCTACAAACAAGACTATACTAGTTTGATTGCAACATTAACATTAAGCAAGAGTGTAATCATCATGTTTTTCTGACTGTAATGGGAGTCACTGAATTAGATTGTATTGTAAGTTGGTTTTTTTTTTTTTCAGCTTTGTAGATTGAGAAAGTGTAAACTTTTTAATATATGATTCATTATTAATAAAGAACATTAGATTCATTTCATGGAAGATGTCTCAGCCAGCTTAAAGGGTACAGCCCAAAAAATCATCTTTTACTCACCCTCATGTCATCCCAGATGTATATGACTTTCTTTCTTAAGGTGAACACAGATAAAGATTTTTAGAAAAAGAATCCATATAATGCAATATAATCCATACGATCCCAATGGATGAACCTATATCTTTTGAAACAAAATGATAGTTGTATGTATGAAATTGAAAAATGTATTATTCTTTTATTATTATATTATTATTTTAAACTTTTAACTGTAAACCATCGCTTCTGGCCAACTGTACACATTCACAAGAATTTCGAGTTTATGCATGACATGAATGTTAGCATGTTGTGAAGCTACCACATTTGAAGTGACACAGAAGCGCGCAGAGGATGTCACTAGTTGCACACGCTTTAAAGTGTTAAAAAGATCTACTTTACTTATGTTTTTGAAGAAAATGAAGAAGAAAATGTTTCATTCATTGTAAGCCAATGAGATTGTATAGTTTAAGTTATAAGTTGTGGTATTCATTTTAGCATTTGAAGTTACGTGCGAAAATTGGTTTCCACACACTACTTACTGGTAGTATTCCACTCTGCTCATTGTCTTCCATTGTTCAAACAAACTGTACATATAGTTGTCTGCACATTTAACTGGTAGGCGAAAGGATTACAGCTAGGGCTCTCAATCGATTATAACATTTAATGACACATTTTTGTAATAGTTAATGCATTAACACTAAATAATTAAAACTACATAATTGGTCTTGTAGTTATTAGGTTCATCACTTTGCATGTATGGGATTTATTGCAGCAGAGCTCTTTAATCACAATTATTATGTCAAATTACATAAATGTGTTAGTTAGCTCCGGTCTTTAAATGTGATTGGCAGAGCAATGTCTTTACTGTTTAATCCTGTGAAGTAGTAGTAGGGATTTTACGCCAGTAGGTGGCAGCAAGTGACTTTATGAATGAGTCATTGAATGATTCACTCAGCCGATTTCTTCAAAATACTGTGCTCAGGGATGCAGCGGTTCGTTCTGCTTTGGAACTATTTTGGCGAAGCAAAAGTATATCAATAAAAGAAGTTACTTTACGCTTACTGAAGTGTTATAAAACCAATATCAGACTCAAAATTATGATCCGAATATCAGCACGACTATGATTACCTGCAGCCGAATCACAGCTGTGCTGATATAAAAAAAACGTCAGCGCATGCATAATTCCCCGGTCACAGCATTAAGAACTAAAGAAAGCCACCGCTATAATATCACTGGAGCTACTGTGAGTATAATTGTCATTTTGTCTTGATGACATACCTAAAAGGAAAGCTGACAAATATGTCGGAAGAGCTTGATTGAGGTGTTTACGTGAAGGCTTTTCAATCTGATTGAGCCATCAATCCAATTACTAACAAATTATTTAGGTGTCTGTAAACATAGCTAGTGTGATATTGCTTAATTATGTTCGATTTTATCCGATTTTTTTAAGTCAGAGGATGTTTGTATTAAATACTATTTACTCCAAGTGAAAATAGCAATTTTTGGTAAGTTTAAATAGTTGTTAGATACATATACTTTGCATATCAGTGTTGTCACCATTATGTTCAGTTATATTCAGTTCAGTTCAGACTTTTAGTTTGTTTTCATTCCTCACGTGTTTCCTTGTCTGTGTTTCCCGCCACTGATCTGTCACCATGGACACTAATGACATTCATCACCGCTGCTAGTCTTTTAGTTAATCGCCATTGTGTATTTAAGTTCCTGCCTGTGTTCTGTCTAGTGTCCGGTATTGTTTGTTTGTGTCTTGCCTGCTGGCTATGTTTCTGAGTTATTTATTAAACAAACTTGTTACATTTCAATCATCTCCGTCTTCCTTGGATCTAATTGTGACAGAATACTGGACCAAAAATAATGGATTATTGAGTCCAATTCATCATCCTGGCTCAACTTTTGTTGCCTTGCAGTCACCAGCCCCCTCGACAACGAAACCCTGAAGACCTTGTTCTGGGTCGGGCAACCTTCCACCATCCTATCGACCTCCCAGACACCACAAATCTGAACTGGAAGGAGACCGTCATCAGGTGTCTGGAGAGTGTTGCGCCCTGATCCAGAACACAGCCAGACACAGAGCCCGAATTACCACCTTCGACCGCGGAGAACTCGTGTGTGTGCCCCCCGCAAGCGTAGAGCTACCGCCCTGCGCCATCTCCGGAGAGTCCCTGTGACGTCGAGCCACAGGTCGTGCATCCACCTTCAGCGCCCGTGCAAGAGGATCCCGCTGCTCTCCCTCCGGCCACGGTCCTCTTCGCTCCATCTCGGCCTGTCGACCTGTCGGCTCCGTCTTGGCTCCTCCCACCTTCGGCTCCACTGGAGACCATCAGACTTACGGCTCCATCGGGTTCCCTTGCCCTGCCGGCACCCCCTTGGTCAGCCACGGACTTGTCCGTCTGCTGCGCTCTGTCCCTCCACCCCTACGGCTGCAGTGGTTTCCTCCTTCCCCTCGGCATCACCTCTGTCCTCTATCACACCGGCTCCGCCTCAGCCCTCGGGTACTCTGGCTCCCCCTCCCGTGTTCGTCGCTACGGCATCGCAGAGATCTCCAGAGCAAGCGGAGAGCCGATGGACTCAAGCGACCTCACTTGCTCTGGAGATCCGCAGAGTCTCCATCGGTCGTTCCCCAGCTGCCGTCAGCCTCTTCACCACCTGGTCTCCTCCCTCCCTCTACTCCGTCGTGGGCTGTCGGCACTGGACTGCTCTGGGTCTGTGCCACCAGGCTTCTTTCATCAGCCCCACCAGGGAATCGTTGTCATCCCTTCACCATCCTGTCACTCCAGCCTCTCTCCATCACCTCGTCCACCTCCAGAGCCCCCTCCGGCCCTCCCTCTGTTGTTCTGTTACGGAGGGGGGAGTAATGACACCATTATGTTCAGTTATATTCAGTTCATGGACAAGTGTATTGTAGTACATTATAAAATAGTATGCAATAATAACATATTCAGTATATATGATTACAATGATTGAAATCATAAATGAATGCTGTCTTATTGGGTCACTACTTGTCCATGTCCCTAAAGCCCTCTCCTACACCTACACCTACCCCTAACCTAACCCTACCCGCTAAACACTCTATTCCCACTATTAATTAGGCACTTTTTTATTTATTTAATATAATCGCCTTTCTGAGCTGATATGCAAAGGGAAAAGGGACTAGAATGAGTTCAGAAATGGGCAGATTAAAATCTCGTGTCGGTCTTGTCAAAAGCTAACACCACCAGCCTTACACTCTACTACGCCACTGATCCTGTTATCGGGTTTCTTTTGTAATTCTGTCTCTACCTGACACTCCCTATTTTCCCTGTATTACAATGTGCTGTAGAGAGAGGCATGTCAGCTGTAAAAGAGAGGGAAGATTGACTCTGTACAGATAATCTTGAAGAATACAGTGAATGCAGTGTTGTAGTCGAGACCAGCTCATTTGAGTCCAAGTCAAGACCGAGACCAGAAGAGGGTTGAGTCTGAGTCGAGACTGAGACCACATGCTCCCAAGTCCATGTCAATACAGAGACCATGAAAATATGGTCTTGGACTCGGACCATATTTCAATGATCTTGTTCTTGTCATGGACTCAGGAGCATGTGGATTCAGACTTGTAACTCAAACTCGACCGTCTTCTGGTGCCAGTTACATAAACGCAGACAATATGTTAAGACTGTCGCTGCATCCAAAATCAGTACGGGCGATATGGACTCTCTATGGTGGACGGCACTGATCCTCAACAACTCGTCTTAAGACCGGCGTGCATACTTGGACTTCCAAAAAATACTCTAAATGTTCCGATCCAATCTGACTTGTAATGCTGCCCGAATCATGCACTGTTCCTCCGTTGGCCAGAGGAGAACTGGCCCCCCGACTGAGTCTGGTTTCTCCCAAGGTTTTTTTCTCCATTCTGTCACCTGATGGAGTTTTGGTTCCTTGCCACTGTTGCCTTGGCTTTTGGCTTGCTTAGTTGGGGACATTTAATATTCAATAATATTATTGATCTGCCTTACTTAAGGTGGACGTTGACGCAATTTCTTTTTGAAACAAACTTTGTTATATTGTTTTCATGTTATCACTGTGAAGCGCTTTGATACAATCTGTATTGTAAAAAGCGCTATATAAATAAAGGTGACTTGACTTGACTTGACTACTGTCTGTGTAGGTTCTACATTTGAATTTACTTTGCGACCGCTAAAAAAGTATGCTCTATATAATATGAATATGGGTAGTATGAAAGAAATTCGGACGTATTACATTTGCCATGTTGTTACTGTCATGTGACCTACCAGCGTCAGTTGCGTCGCTTCACTGCCATTCACAAATCCTCTCCCATGTCCTCATGAGAAAGTAAAGTGTCCATCGAATGCACACTTCAGAATCTCGGCAGAAGTAGAAGGTCATCCAGGGACTGGATTTTCAAATACTATTCGGACATACCACTCTTTTGGCGTACTGTTTTTCACAAACTATACTGTAGGGAAGTAATCGATTTTGGATGCAGTGTATATCTTAAAAACCAGTCTGACAAAATAGCAGTTTTGCAGTTGATCCTAACTTGATCTCAACGCTCTTCTAGTCTGAAACTTTACTCAGAGTCGAATATGCTGGTCTCAACCACAACACTGCTCAAAGGTATGAATGCACACAACACAGAAACAGTGAAAGTGGATACACATCACAAGCTCATATGGATGAAGATTAATGAGCAGCATCTGCAAAAACCCACTGTGTAATAAATTAATACAATTTGTAATTCCTTTTCTCTTCAGCTAAAACATGCAGCAACCACACTGAGCTCCAGTGAACTGAGCAGTGTCATATCTCATACCGATCTGGACCGAATGTGGCAGAAAGACCTGAAGACTATGCTTGTTGTGCGGTACCCTGGTTCAACTGGAAGCCAACAAGTTCGGGAGGTCAGTATGTGTGTGTGAGTGTGTGTATGAAATCTCACGTTTAAATGTGACAGTGTAATCAGTGTGTGAGTTTCTTTCTCTTCAGCATATTAAATCAACCCTCGGCTCGATGAACGCGGGGTGGGAAGTGACAGAGGACGCCTTCTATTCTCATACTCCTTACGGCCAACTTCCCTTTACCAACATAATTGCTACTCTCAACCCTGCTGCAAAACGTCAGTTGGTGCTGGGCTGCCACTTAGACTCAAAATACTACCCTCCACAATGGGACGGCCGTGAGTTCCTCGGAGCAACGGATTCTGCTGTCCCCTGCTCAATGATTTTGGAATTGGCAAGAGCCCAAGATGACGAACTAAAGACCCTGAAGGTATGGCAATGTACACAGAAAATAGGGATGGGTCACCAATGGTTGAACAACTGACTAGTCGATTAGTAAGGTCATCATCTAATGTATATCTAGATTTTTTGTTTTAAGATTTTTTAGCAAATAAGCTTTGGTGACAGCAAAAAACACTGTCACTTGTTTTTATAAACATTGTGACTTTTTTTTGTGGGCGGAGCTTAGGTGGAGGCAAAACAGTTCCCCTGGCTAGCAAGTTCCCTTTCGAGGGAACTCGCGATGCGTCAACGACGCTTTGGGAACGCTCCCAGCGTGAATGCGTCCCCAAAGCGTCGTTGACGCATCGCGAGTTCCCTTTCTCAGGGAACTATGGTTACAGTCGCAACCTGAAACGTTTTGATAGCTTGTTTTTTAACAATGACTAGAGGAAATCTAATTTTATCTTAATATCTTAATTGCAGGACCGCAATTGTCATTTAAAAAGGTTAACTTTAATAGACAGAACCAGATTGGCCGACCTGTACACACTCATTCAATGGATGGACGATCTGACAGGATTAGCTCCGGTTGAGTGGCCTGACATCTACACCTACAGTACCTCATAGAGAAAACGAGCGTAAAGAGAAACTGAGGGCGTATAAATCTTTAGATGCCTATAACCATTTGCTGAATGGCCACGTACACGACTTATGTGTAAACGATCCAAAGTTCTGCCTAGTCAGCGCCAAGGTCAGAATACGACCATCCAAAGAGTGACATTACAGTACAATTTCAAAGATGTGAATATTTTCTAGAAATAAAAATTCCAGATACAGCTAATTAATTTTTGAACTTTATGTATTTGATAATGCTTTTGTGGTAGATTTTCCCCTAAGCACCTGACTTAAGTTTACCTGGCATCTCCCGTCGACACCCAAGCGTCTACTTAATAATATTTATACTCTAGCACTGCGTCTACAGTCTTCGAGTCGGACGACGTCTCGTCCCTTTTTACACTAGTACTCGAGAATATAGATCTCTAGTGTCCTATAACCGAACTAAACAGACTCCAGACAATGCCTTCAAATATGTTTTAATCACGGCCAGAGGATCTCAGACCAATTTCAGGGAGAATCCCACTACAACTGTTTTTATAGAATAGGAGCATGGCAAAGGTGACATGATTCATCGCATAATTGTAAAATTGGTTCTTATTCAGCAAACCCTTCTGTTACTAGGTAGAAGCTGTGTTATTCAAAGTCATGAGTTTTTATATTTAAACATTTGTCTAGTTTCAGTTCCCCTTTTGTTATATTCGGACATGATTCAGACACACTGACTGACTTTGACCAAAGTGTTTAGAAACATTTCAGGTTTCAAAAGCACATAATTGTTAATCCTGCAAGAAAAATAAATGGGTCTATAAGGGTCTATAGTAAAATTTTCTTGGAAAAGTTGTATGCATCCATCCCCCTTTAAAGCACTGCCACTACAAACATAACCGTGAACATTGAAATGAAAGAGTTTGTGATGAATAAATGAAGGAGCAACGCAGGAGAGTGCATCTTCAAAAATGCATCCTCTTATACATACAGTTCACTGCAGTTCCAAACTAAAATGAACACTATGGCTGTAAAACGGCAACAAATTACAAGGGCAGATTATCGAATAATGAAGACTTATTTTCACGTCGTTCACTGCAGAATACTATGTTATGACCTCAAAACACTTTGATTTGTAGCCCATGATTTGTAAACTAATAACATTTTGATGTTTGCTTCATATAACCAGCTCATATGTATGGCTTTATGTAGTAAACTTGCTCTTCAGCTCATCTGGTGAAATTATTCGGAGCGCTCAGGTACGAGTCCAAACTAAAATTTCATTGTTGTTTCAGCATATGCTTTTTATCTCACATTTGCTTTTGTCAACTCTATCGGTTCGCTTTAGGGCAGGGTTAGAGTAGGTGGAATGTTTTTTTGCAAATGCTATAGAGCTTTTAGCGCCACTCACCGGATATTTTAGTTATTTTGTTCTATGTGGCAATGCGGTTGCTAAGTTGTTTTCAGTGGTTCAGTAAACTCTCTTTGACAGTGGGTAGCTTATAGCTTTATTTTGTGCCTACTTATTTGGTTCCTTATTAATTCGATTGGAATTCATGGGATTGATAATGAATTTACATATTAAATGTTTTTTTCATTTGTGTGTATTCTGTAGCATCACAAGTAGATGGCAGTATGTATATGTTTTTTCCCTCACAGGACTCTGGGTCAGATCTGTCTCTGCAGCTGTTCTTCTTTGATGGAGAGGAGGCTCTGTATCAGTGGACCTCTGAAGACTCTCTGTACGGATCCCGTCACCTAGCCCACAAAATGGCGACGACACCACATCCACCAGAAGCCACCAACACCAGCCAGCTCGACAGCATTGTACAGTTCCCTCATAAACAATGATTAATACAAAAAAAGAAAGTTGACATACAGCCAAACTTACATTCCTCCATGGATTACAAAATGAGATATTTTGATATTTAGCTTGTCCAAATACAAAAAGTACCATTAAAGTGATCCATATGACTTATGGGATGTGTTATAAGATTTTCTAAACTTTGTGTGATGAACAGACAGTTTAAGTTGTTATTCACTGATAATTTGTGCTTGCATACTTCCTCATTCACTGTATAAGTGTTACATAAATGGACAATCATATATTGTGAATGTACGGCTAAAGAAAATGAATGCAAGCAAACCGCAAAACCGGTTAAAGTGTTTAATTCATTCAATTTCTCGCCAGGATCTGTTTGTTCTACTGGACTTGATTGGAGGTCCTAATCCTCGCTTTGGTAATCAGTTCTCTAGTACGACCCGATGGCTTTCCAAACTTCAAAAAATTGGTTAGTAATTTTTCTGCTCCATTTTGTTGTCCCATCTTTTCTCCCTCTGTTTTCTCATTCTTTTCCTCTGAGAAATTTAGTTAGGTTTAGTTATGGATGACAATAAGTCTAAACAAATGTCCATAAGAAAATAATTGATTCAAATACTTGAATGGTTCGAGTCAAATGTTCCCCATATATATGAGTCAGTGAATCATTCATTCAGTTGTTGTTTTTGTTTTTTTTACACCAAAAACACTGATTCGTTTAGAAACTAAACACTATGTGTTGCTTTTGTGCAGTTGATTTTCATTTGCTTTCATTCAGAGATATTTTCATTAGCATGCCTTTGTGGAAAAAAGTCAATTTTAGCATACTTTTAAAAAGAAATATAGATTATACTTATGTGCGAACTTATTCAGACACTATCTGACACTTATTTGAATTTACTTGGGTAATGGTTTAAAATTATATTAAATGCAGACCTACCTAAGTGGTGCTTATTATGTGTAGTTTCATATTCACTTCTATTGTTTAGGTTGGAGTGTACTGCCGATGTACGGACCAACAGTTATGTTATTTGTAACTAAAATCTACTTTTATGTCATTTTTATTGAAATTTGTATATAAATATACTTGTAATTGCACATTTGTAATGATGGAGATGCAATTTAGTACATTTAAAAATATATTAACTTTAAATGTAGTATTTAATAATTACATGCTACAGTTAAAATTATAATCAACTACTACTATAATCAACACATCAAAAATAAGTGCACTTCTTTGAAGCACGATTAAACAATGATTTAAAATATAATGGTAAAAAAATTAATTTGGCATTATTACATGTTTTTTATCTTTAAGTGCACTTAAGTGGCTTTTTAATTCCAGGAATATTTTATAGTAGAGTTTTTAAAATATATACTGTATATACTTCAAAGAACACTATAAGTGCACATTCCATACAATGATGCACACTCACTAGGGGTGCAAAAATATACTGTAACTGGTAATATTATATATAAAAATATAAGTTACTCAGTGTGAATTTCCCTCATTAATAAGGATTTATCTCTAAAACCCATAGCTAGTGCTTTTGCATCTACACCACTAGGTGTCAGTATAATCAAAGCTGGCTGTCATATTGACAAGCACAACATAAACAAAAACACTACTGAATGCACCTTTAACCTTTATAAAATAATAAATGTTATACTCCAAATGAGCTGATATTGAGAGGAAAACTCTTTACTGTTGTCTAGAGCGTCGGCTGCATGCGCTCGGTCACCTAGAGAATCACCCTAATGAGGTTCAGTACTTCTGGCCTGGCCTACATGTGGGTCTTATTCTGGATGACCACATACCATTTCTCAACCAAGGTAAAAGACTTCCTGAGATTAATATGAATGTTTATATAAAAAGGCTTTTAAGCCTTCTGTATGTATTCCTCTGCAGTCGCCGCGATTTTTCATGTTAGAAAAAAAGAATTGTTGATCCAGGAACAACATTTCTGTCTGAAAATTCCTAATCTCTTATCCCTATCCATAACTTAGCCTAAAATCAGAGGGAAATGATAGGTGAATAACACTGATGTAGAAGCACATAACCCTGGTTGTAAGCCTAAACTTGACATAAACTGTGAACTTGTCCCTCAAATCTGAGTGGTTGATGGAAATGTTGGTCCAGGATCAATAAAGATGTTGATGTTGTACTTGGTGAAATCACGTTCACCATTTCTCTGCCCTCGCAGGAGTCCGGATTCTTCATCTCATCACGACTCCTTTCCCTGCGGTGTGGCACACTTTCGATGACAATGAGGATAACTTGGATCGTACCTCCATCGGCAATCTCAACAAGATCCTGCAGGTGTTTGTTCTTGAGTACCTCAACAAGAAAAGTCAGAACCCTATCGCTGAAAGCACTTAATCTTTCCAAACTAGACCATCAGTCCCCGATGACATTTCTCTGACAAGCATTGCAAGTTAGCCAGTCTCACCTATTCCAGGTTGTTCTTTGACAATTTATTTGTCACACAATCAGTAAGTTCTTCTGTGGTATGTGAGTTCCAAACAGATGCACATTACTACAACTGGGGTTGCAAATGTCTTCGGCCTGTTAAAATTCAGAAGACATTTAGGGCCAGATTTACTTAACAGGGCAAATTAGCTTGAGAGCGCAATTCAAAAACAGCGCTGATGGGAGTGGAAAGTTCTTCACGTGATCTACTGATGACTCGGAAATTAAAGAACAGACACTGCCGGATCATTTCCATAATGACCAATGGGATCTACCAAGAGCAGCGCAAATCAGCGTCTGGTTAAGACGTGCTTTTTTTGGGCAGTACTGTAAATAATGGAGCAAATACAGGTAATTGACTAGTGCAAACCTTAGTAAATCACCTTGCTTGATTCATTTAAATACTCTCCTCTCATAAATACTGCATCTGAAAGGGAAACTCCTACAAATGCATATGCAATAAGGTCAGCCGCAAAAATAACCCCGTCCACACCTTTTCAGCACAAATTTTTCACTACGTGTTCTTGGTAGATCCTGACAGTAGTTTTTTAATGCCAAAAGAGGGTTTGTTAGTAAATCTGGCTCTTGATTCAGGATCTGACTCGGTATACAGGGTTCACTTTTTTTTCTTTTTTTTTTGTCACCTGTTAATGCCCCTGTCCTTGTGCAACAGAAGACCAGGACATGACGGCAAAACGAAATACTTACAAATATTGGTACTCAGTATATCTTATTTTTGCTGGTTACATGCGTAAATAATAGAATTTATTGTAGCCTTATACTGTGTAGCCTTTTTGACTTAAATGTAAATTGTTTTATGAATCAACAAACTTGGTGTAAAGAATCACAGTGTTTCATGATGTGATTCTGCGAGCTGCTGCTATTGTCATGTGTTCCTGGTGTCAATGTGTTCCTCACTGTCCAGTGAGATCTGAAATGTTACTTTAAACATGTATCCATTTTAAATAACTGATTATAAAGCAAAACAGCTAATAAACAGTTCACAAAGCAGTGGTAAAACCATTCTTGGCTTCTGAGTGTTCATTCATAGCTTTAGCTTCAGTACAGATTAGTTGAGGATTTGTGGAGGGTTACATTCTTGCATTTATGTACATCGTAAGCTTTAAAAGGGTTAGTTCACCCTGAAATGAAATTTCTGTCATTAATGACTCACCCTCATGTCGTTCCAAGCCCGTAAGACCTCCGTTCATCTTCGGAACACAGTTTAAGATATTTTAGATTTAGTCAGAGAGCTTTCTGTCCCTCCTTTGAAAATGTATGTACGGTATACTGTCCTTGTCCAGAAAGGAAATAAAGACATCATCAAAGTAGTCCATGTGACATCAGTGGGTTAGTTAGAATGTTTTGAAGCATCGAAAATAAATTTTGGTCCAAAAATAACAAAAACTAGGACTTTATTCAGCATTGTATTCTCTTCCGGTTCCGTTGTCAATCCTCGTTCAGTGACGCTGATGACGTAAGACGCTGCTGACGTGTGTCTGGTGCGCCCGAGCTTCGTTTACAGTCTGAGGGAGACGCACGCTGGAAACAAAACAATCTTCGCAAAACATGTCTAAGGATTTCGACACAGAGGAAGACTTGCATTTTTTTGCCCAGCCATATTTATTTGAACCCGAAAACACGGACGCACCAGATACACGTCAGCAGCGTCACTGTGGACTCGTGAACGGCGATCGACAACAGAACCGGAAGACAATACAATGCTGAATAAAGTCGTAGTTTTTGTTATTTTTGGACCAAAATGTTTTTTCAATGCTTCAAAACATTCTAACTAACCCACTGATGTCACATGGACTACTTTGATGATGTCTTTATTTCCTTTCTGGACAAGGACAGTATACCGTACATACATTTTCAATGGAGGGACAGAAATCTCTCGGGCTAAATCTAAAATATCTTAAACTGTGTTCCGAAGATGAACGGAGGTCTTACGGGCTTGGAACGACATGAGGGTGAGTCATTAATGACATAATTTTTGGGTGAACTAACCCTCTATATACTATATTACTCAACTATATACTATATTACTCAACATCATTACGTCTTCATAGAGAAAAAAGTTTTTTTGTTTTTTTTACATTTAACTAAATTAGAAATGTTGCCTTCAAATAAGTTTAATTTGATGAAAAATATGTTGATTTTAACCAGAAAAATAAAATAAACTGGAATGTCACTATTTAAAACAATAGCACATAAAATTACAAAAAATTTAACTACAATGAAAACTGAAAATAAAATAAAAACAAATTCTAAATATTCATAAACACTATAATAGTTGTATATAACTAAATCTAAAATAACACTGATCTTGAGTTGATTTATGTTCACTTCTGATCTGTTTTTAGGGCAGGACTGATTGTAATTATTTTGAATGTTTTTTTGAAGGTTCATTTACAAGGAAGTGTGTGTCTCCATCTGAGAACGTCTGTAAGCAGGAAGCTCTTAGTCTCTATGTTTGTCTATAAACTGTGGCATAGACTGGTTTCATCCTCCCTAGAACTGGGTGTTCCCATGCAATATGAACTTACAGACCACATGATCAGGATCCTGCCATGAATTCCAGTGTCAAAAGTCCCCTGATTTATCTCATTCTCACACAGAAATATGGGTTTTCGGGCACTGGGTGTATTTTTGGTATATTCATTTTAAAAATGTAGTCACTGCAGTGAGGTACAACTAAAAATGTACTTGAGTAGTACTATACTACCACAAGTTTACAATGTTCAGTCCAGTGTTATTTTAGTATTAATCATATACTGCTATAGTATTTATAATTTTTTTAATTAAATTTTTTAGTAATTTTGTATGAGCTTTTGTCATTTTTATTAGTTTATTTTATATATATATTTCTATGTAGCTTTATTTTCATTTATTTTTTAATAATTTATTTTTATTTCAGTTTTAGTTTTAGTATTTTTAGTACTTCAGCTAAAAATAATTGTATTACTGCCAAGACAACATTTCAAATTTTCGTTTAATTTTTTAAAGCTTAATTTTTTTTCATCTCATTTTTATATTTTATTTCAATAAACCAAAACGATTTTAATACTTTTAGATTATTAACAATAACTACACTGGTTCAGTCAGACAACTGGAATCTGTCTGGAATATTCATTATACAGTTAACATGTTAACATTTCATTGCATTACATAGCAACATATAAAACTAAGGGTCATCAGAGAACAATTGAAAAGTTGATACTATGGGAACGTTCTTGCGTGACTGCGTCTGAAGCATGTGGGAAATTACCGTATTGTTCGGAATTTAAGACCCCCCCCAGCCAAAAAAAATTTGTTTCGCTTTTTGCATACCACAAAAATAACCTGTAGCCCATCTGACAATAACAATTAGGCTCGCCATCTCATAGTGAAAACCATGTAGTCTACCAAAATTTCTGGGTACCGTTGTTCTGTCGATCTGTCCTACCTTGTCAGTTTTTCCTACCGTAGCGCAAAATTATAGCCATATCTATCGTTTCATCCTACCACATCGTAAAATCCTACTGCGCGTTTCTGCTTCGCGTCTGTGACTACATCAAATATTTCAGTGTAACTTTGCCGCATATTCTTATTAGGTGATTTTACAGTGCAAAGTAACGTTACCTCATCAGATTGTCCTATGAAATAATCGGGTAGGATGATTTTACAGTGCAAATACCTCATCAGATTGTCCTAGACAAATAAACAGATAGGATGATTTGACAGTCTAAGTTTTAATCTGTATAGTCCCTGGACAGATGTTACAAATTTACTCTAAACCAGATGATAATGTAAATTGAAATAAGATTAGTTATTGAGATAATTTATAATCAAGCAGATCAATTTAGAACGGAGATTATTAATCAAATTCATTTCAAAATTCAAAATCATGCAACAGAGATGCACAATACAAAACAAGTAAAACAATAAGTTATTAATATAAATATGAACTAAGACCACACTGTGCTGCAGACTGTTATCAATGCAAATGATAAAGGGACATACACTGAAACTATACTACACACTTTTTGCACATAAACACATTTAGGCTACTGAAGTTGCAACATTTAAAATGTGCCCATCTATTGCAGCTCTCACACTGTACCTGGAAATAAAGGAGATGAATATATATGTAAATTAGTACATTTAAAACAATATAGAATCTGAAAACATGAAAAGAAAAATGACCTTTTCATTTAAATAACAAAATTCTACAAAAAAAACATGGCACATAAAGTTAAACTATTGTTTTTTGGGTGTGTGTATTATAAGTTGTATACCATTTCAATCATGCTTTCGTTGGGGTCGTCTTCCACACAGTACTCCTCTGCATTACCTATACATTTGTTAACATTAAAAAAAAAGATAAATATGAATTCATTGGACAATCATATCATAGTGTACTAAATGTCAACATAAACGCCATGAAAAAAAAAATCTCAGACCTGTTCCGAAATTACATTAAATCAAATCATTCTTGCATTACTTTTTGCATCCTTCAAGTTATTTTCTATATAATTTTCTTCTCTATCCCCTCTGTATATTTGGATATTCTTACTTGATTAAATACATTTTTCAGAGTGAAGATAGCATCTACAGAGGTGTACTACATGACACACTGTACATTACAATACATACATTACTACGGTATTACAGAATTAAAACAGCACTCACCTCGACATCCAAGAAGTGTGCAGGCTACTGTCATGCGTGCTGAGCTGACCGCTTCAGGCGTAGTCTGAACATTGCTGATCGTTCCTGTCAGCAGGTATTGTTCAGCAAACTGAGACATTAATTGACAGATGACTTAATTAAATTCATTATAACATATCCAGACCTGAAGCCACTCTTGAAAATATATGAACACATACATTCAATACCACAACTGCTGGAATCCATCTGCAGGTCGTGCTTCAGGGTCCGTAATTGCCACTGGGCTGTTTGCTCAATTCCTAGAT